TTATTCTATCAACATTTATATACGTTAAAAAGTAATCTAAGCACAACTGACTATAAAAGAATGAAAACATTTCGCAGATTTTTACAACATTCTGGGTAATTTTTTGTCTAGATCCGTGATTTTTTTTATTCTTGAAAAAGCACTATATAAACTTCACTATTTTTTTTATCCAAATTACTGAATGAGTTACAATTCTTCAACTTTTTAAATCAGAACAATCTGAAATAGGTGCTCAAGCCTACCGCAAAATATTGTTGATTTATTTAAGATGGAATGATCTATTATGACGTGTCTCTAATTTGTATTTAGAAAAACTGCAGTTATATTAAATATTTCTAGTTGAATTGTTCACTGTACTGCATATGATCCCTTTTTGTACATAATCAGGTTACGGTAAAATATGCATTTTATATGAATACTACCTTATGAAAATTTAGATATAATAGAGAGGTGGGCCCTGTATCATAGATTCAAGGATATCATAGATTCGGGAGTATTCTAACTTCGGAGTTGGCGTGGGGGGCGACACCTTGCACTGACATTGTCATAATGATGTTCCAAGCTGACAGCTTCTTCCAACGAACTATTACTTTGTGGAAAAAATTCCTGTGTGAATGCTTTCCAGAAGCCTATAAACTTAACAACTTCATGTCGAGTCAATCGTTATCTATCCGCCCTAACATCATAATCGTTACTTCATATTTCTTCTTCTTACGTTCATATCACATAAGTAATTCTTTACATTGAGTAGATCTTTGGTCTTGTCTTGGTTGAATATTCTTTCATTGATGATGAAGGAACCCGAATCAAGTGACACAGTGTCAACTAATCTACCATTATAGACAGCCGATTTGAAAAACTAATTGTAATACTAGATGAGAAGTTGCTTTGTTATTCGTCGAAATGTATTAAAAACGTCAATCTCTCAATTAGTATAATTAGGACAATACTGTTTATATTACATTCTATTTGTCACAGATATTGTATACTTTTTCATGAATAAAGAATACCGTAAAATTATATTTTAATATCAGAGACCCATTATATATATATATATATATATATATATATATATATATATATATATATATATAATAATAATTTCGTGAATATTGTTATATTAATCTCTTCAGACGGACTGAAGAGATGAATATAGCAATATTCTGAAATAAATAGCACAGAAATAGAACTTTAAAGGTTTTTTTCTGGATTTATTATTATTATAATGCTCTGTATTTTATATTGAGTTCTATTTGGATTAATAACCTCCTTAGAATTATCCTACCAATCACAAATTGGTATTATTATATATATATATATATATATATATATATATATATATATATATATATATATATATATATAAACTTTTACATTTTAACATGCAAGTTACCACAGCAAAAAATGCATATTTATTTCGACGTCTACAGGGATTTCATCAGGTGGTGGACGATGGTAGTATCGTTCATCACCTGATGAGATAATTACAGTCGAAACTTGCATCTTCCAATATAGCAGTTTATATAAAATAATATAATTTATTGCTCTACTCTTGTATTGAGCCCTTTTTAAATTAATGTTATAAACCTTAGCACTTATACTTTTTGATATTTCACACACACACACACATATATATATATACATATATATACAGTGTAACCCGGATATAAGAGAGTTGTCGGGACCGTAGAAGAAATCTCTTATATCCGGGTTTCTCTTATATCCGGGTTTGGTCTATATGCATACATTAACATAGGCTCTAATTTGGGACCAGAGAAAATCTCTCTGATATCCGGGTTTCTCTTATATCCAGGTTACACTGTATATATATATATATATATATATATATATATATATATATATATATACATACATATATATATATATATATATATATATATATATATATATATATATATACAAAGCTAGCTCCTGGAATGTACTTATTTCTTGAATTCGTCGTCAGTTTGAATATTTATAAACATGCCTTTAATTTCATTTCTTATTTCATTTAAACCATTAATCCTCTATGTCAATCAATAAACACCAAGAATGGATATCAAGATAGCGAGAAATAGTCTGGACAAATAATCAACACTTCACGGTGACTTTAATGTTTGTACCTGCTGTGTGGTACCAATCCCGTTCGACTCTTGCAAGATAAAAGTCGCATTTGTTGCAAATTAATTGAATTTTCCTTGACTCAGTTCACTCAGTTGTTCCATCCTAGATTTCACACGCTGATTTATTCCAGCACTGTAAGATTTTTGACAGTGTTCACCGTTTTGGTAAACCTCTTCGATGCTTTTTAAAAGTACCCCAATTGATATTAAACTATATTTGGGTTTGCCTTTTTATCTAAGAAAGTTTTTCCAACGCAGACCACTAAGAAGATGAATGTACGTTAGAATTTTTTTTTGAATCTGCAACCAGGCCTTCATATTAATGACCAGCCTATCTTGGGTGTGGTTGCATCAAGATGGCTTCTATGATTACTATGATACAATTATAAACAATTCCACATTAGAAATTAGACTTCATTAATACAATAGGAAATAATAATCTAAACCTTAAAGGAGAAATATATTCAATCACCTGTAATAATTATCACGAGAAATATAATGGAGAAACCGCGAGGAATTTAAATGACAGTATATGAACATAAAAGGAATATTTTACAAAATAATACACTCGGTGGATTAGTTGCCCCCGTAATGAATCTGACCATAATCTTGTTTTAAAAATGCCGCTTCATTCAATTAAAAAGAGTAAGCAATTTATTTAGGCGAAATTGTATAGAAAGTGCTTTAATCACTAAATCTTAGGGAAAATTTATGACAAAATATAAAAAGTTTACTTGTGACACATTTAGTCCTTCAGGACTCTCATTGAAATTTGGTAGGATTATACCTAAGCGCAGCAAAGGGGTGCTGGGAATTTTAGAATTAATTTAGAGTCTTTTTCTTTGTCTTTCCATCACTTTTGTAAGTATCTATTCCACACCTTGTGATTAAGAAACTCACTAGACATTTATGGTCATAGTGAATTATTTTCTCCTTTGATCATGGTAGCATTTTTCTGTCAAAGCTGTAGCCAGTCTCGTCAGGGTGGACAACATTTGATGTATTATTTTGTAAAATGTCCCTTTTGTGTTCATATAATATTTAATTTAGATTCCTTGAGTTTTCTCTTATGTACCTTTTGGAAGAAATTTTACAGGCGATGGAGGTTTTACTTAATGTTTTGGATGTAATAGTAACGAATTTTACGTTGAGCTTAGATAGATTCTTTTCGATTGTAGATGTAAAAGATTAGTAGGCAAAATAATATATTTTTTGATTCATTGGGTTTCTCTGTAGCGGCCTTTTTTTATTTTGGAATACTTTATGGACCTTTTATTTCGAATGAATATAAAATAATTAGGATACTAGAGAAGTTTGAAAGTGTTTTCAATGTATTTCTCTTCTTCATATAAATAATCCGAGCTGCATATTCTTAGAGTAAGAATGCAATGCTCATGCCGTATTTTATTTTGTTGTTATGATGATAATAGAAATTTTCTAGGTCGATTTCGTTGGTTGATTTCCACTGGACCCTGAGCTTAAAACTGTTGATAACGCCGGGTAGCTTGATATCTAGGACGGGAAAGTAATTGTGTTCTTCCATTTAATATTCATTCTGTGTTCGACATAAATAAAAAAAAGTATGTTGACTGTTCGTGTAAAATATTTTGGGAAGGACCAGATTCAAGAAATTCGTCATAAAATTCCAATAATATTTTTCTTGATATATAATATATTTAGACCAGATTTCATTAATAAAATGAAGTTCAATTTATTCAGACACAAGGAAAAGGAACAAAAGGAAAAACGAATAAAAAAGAGAGAAAAAGGAAAATGTTTTAATGCTAAAAAGAGAGAAAAAAATGGGAAGAAAGCTCTGTGTGGAATTATATCCTCCTTGAAATTATCCTTACTAATCATCAATTGATTATATATATATATATATATATATATATATATATATATATATATATATATATATATATATGAAAATGATAATATATAATCATCAATTGATAATATATATATATATATATATATATATCAATTGATGGTTTATGGGATAATTCAAGTAAGATATAAAGGTGGCCGGAAGATTGTGTTTAGCATGAAACGGTCTGCCGCCTCTGAGTGGTGAGCATTTGATGATAAATTTTGCTCTCGGCAAAATATCCTCCTTTAGCCTTGATTACTGCAGTGCAAATCGTTGATATCCACGGCAAAAGTTTCTCCAAGTATGAGTTTGATAATTGATTCCATTCTTTTTCAGTGACTCTAAGAACTCATTTTAATTTCTTTTCAAGATAGTCAATCCTAATTCTGTGTGAGGCCTCAAACTTTTGAAGTCTAATACATACATATATATATATATATATATATATATATATATATATATATATATATATATATTGGGGACTTTTAAAAAAAATAAAAATGTACTAAAGACCTTTGGATTATTAAATTAATAGTACCTTCCTATTTATTTTCTATATATTTGCACACACACACACACACACACACACACACACACACACACACACACACACATATATATATATATATATATATATATATATATACACACAAAGAGAGATCGAATGAGAAAGTGAATGATACATATGCAGAGTGTCCAGTAATGATGAGATAATTATAAATTTACGACGATTAAATGTATTTTCCATTCTTACCCTTATTATTATGAGAGTATATACATTTAAAATGTCTGTTTTTAATGAAACAATAAGAAATATTTATCCCGTAAGAGATTATTTAATTTTGTCCTAATGACCGTGTAGCTAACTTGATTTATTGTGACGCATAATTTTTTTCTTTTCTCTGTAAAGTTTATTTTTCCACGATACCTTCCTTCTCCTCCGCAACTGCCCCGAACCAAACCAAGATTAGTCACATAGAAACTCGGATTTCGTTGCGATTCAGATGAAAATCCCTGCACCGCAACGAAAACGGACGAAGTGCGACAGACGCCATTTTGGCGCCTGTGCTGTGAGGCGTGGCCGTCAGTCACTGTTTCGTGGTTGACTTGCCAGCCAGTTTTCTCTTGGCGTTTCTCTGTCACACATCAAGCAAACCGTCGATTTTGTACGGGCTTCACCCCTCTTTTTGTGTGTTCGAAGTTCAACGCGGGAACACCCGTATAACAATCTAATACACACTCGTACAACAACACATATTTATACATGCACACACCTGTAAATATGCGCGCACACAATCTCAGTGTTTGATCAAACAAGCTTACTAAGCAACTTTCATGCATGTCCATACAGTAAACTTGAATATCCGCGTATAGAATCACACCTAATTATAAACACAGAGGGATAAACGTTTGCAGTTGGTAACTCAGCAAAAATCAACAATTTAAAATATAATTATACACAGGAATAAATAATTGATGTAACTTTTTACAAATGCTACACTAATTAAAAAAAAAATAATTATTTATGTGGAAAGAAATTCAAGGTAGTCCTTTTAATAAATATATTGTTATATATGAATAAAGTGTCGCTGCCGACACTTGAGTTTGAACATAGATCGCCAGTGAGTAAACACAGGCGATCCCATTATTGAATTAAGTTGACTACGTGACCATAGAGGAAACGCATATATGGTAGTTAACGTGACCTCCAACTGATCGTCTTTTCTAGTCTGTCCTTCAATACTATACGAATCATCATTTCTCCTCTATCCTCTTTTTCTATACGGACCACTATTCTCTATTCAGATCACTATACGGTGGTTACTTTACGAGCGAGTATTATCGAGTAAGTATTATTAGAGCGAGTGTTATTCGAAGGCGTCTGACGCTAGTATTGTTCAACGGCGATACTATAGTCGAATCTGCGATTACAAAGTCTTTACTACAACGAGCATTACAAAAGTGACAACGAATATTCGTTGGCATCACGAAAGTGCCAGACGAGTGTTCGCTGGCATCACAAAGTATATACACACGTCAAAAACATTATATTACATCAATTTTTATTGAATTTTTTTTAAATAACCGACTCGTAAAGCCGCCATTTTCTTTTTGGGAATATTTTACATTCAAGGTAGTAAAAAGAAAAACATGTTCTTGTTAGTGACGGGAGATTATAACGGGGGGGACCCCGATCAAACTAGACACACTAACCCTAAAACCGCACCAGTGAGTTGTTGCATAAACTCATGAGAGGGCCTATCTCCAGATACGTGGCCATGAGTTGCTGTGGCCGTTTCAAACGGTAATAATCAAAGGAAAAAGGTTACTGCTTGACGCGTGTAGGATTCAGGCTTATACATCACTCATTATGAAAGCTATCGTCAAGACTGTGTTATCTCAAGAGGAAGTGACAATGAGAGCCACCTCATCATATATTGATGATACATATGAATATTCGAACTGTCACTCAATCTATAAAAAGTGCTTAAAAGGAGACACGTGTTGTTGGATTGTTTGACTTACGCTACTCTGTTGGTAGAAGGAAATAAATCAAGGCACTTTATTGCAAGCCGGATGAAACTGACTTAAAAATAACGGTTAGAAATGCTTTTTTTTTCTTCTTAAAGAATCGTATGTTTGTCTAAAACAGTGTTTACATAAAAAAAATTTCGAATCAACATGCGGACAAACACTAAACTTAATGTCTTCTAGATACACACATTTATGAATATATATTATGAACTGAATTCCAACATATTGGAACTAGAATTATGAGGCACTTACATACATAAGGTAATAATTAACTATTTTTTTTTCAGTTAGGTTTGGCATAAGTTCATGTCTTGGAGCTTCGAAAGGATGCATCGTTTTACCTTAAATTACGAACGCCATAAATTACACTAATGTCTTTTTAACACATCAAAACGCACGTGAACACTGTTAACCAATGAAAATCAAAGAAAACGAAAATAAGTATATCCGAATTTTGTTCTTTTTTCTCCATATCTCATTCTCTGATGAAGCTTTAATAAAATTAAACATGTTAGACTGATCAACGTTTCCTTTTTATTCTTTATCCTATCATATAATTATATTATATTTCTGCTTCCTCCTGCGTTCGTAAGTTAGTTAAAACGTGCGTTACGCCCTGTCATTTTAGCAGAATGGACTTTTTGATTGCGACGCAAGATGGAAGAAAAAATATATATCCGAGACATCGTTTCGTTTTAGTGAGAAAAATAATAGCACATAATAAGAAAGAAAGCGAAGACCAAGAATTGCGATAACGCTCTTATTCTTTTATCGTCTGCTTTAATGAAATGGAAAACTTTCAATTTTGAATATTTTCCTTGTATACACTTACATCTTTAATCAAAGATCTGTATTCATACTTATAGTTGTTATTGCTATATTTTCTAAAATTCTTCGAGCTTAAATATTTAACGATGCAATAGGGAAGTTCTCGTAGGTAACTTATCGTAGCTGAACTAGCAATAAGCTTATTTAATCATTAAATTGAGAATTATGATTGATCAGAAAATACGAACAGGAAAACGGTGACATTTTCATAGATAGTATATATAATGTCCGCAACAAACTGTTCTTACGCACATTCAAATATTAATACAACAGTTTGAAACGCAACTATATTACCCAGCAAAGAGATAAATTGCGAGAGGGATACACGAGTTACATGAAAGCACATATAAAATAATATTACTGGTGAATAAATTTCTCATGTACACAGTAGTGTTCAACTGGTATGAATAGAAAAATTGTTGAAAAATACGATTTGTCTCCGTCCTAGGTATGACAATAAACTATGTCCGCGTCCAGGGTAAGACGATAAACTACGTCCAACAGCAAAGCCTCTGATCAGGAGGTTTTCAGGAGCGTAGAACCACCTCTTAATTGCTAGTGTTACCAGGTAGGCCCTGACCCGTCTTGGTAGCACCTGTTAGGGTCCCAACTATGGGTAATTAGTTAGCACCCAAACTGGGGTCAAAACACTATGTAAGTGTAAAAATAGCTTTTAATACAAGAAATATTTAATAAAAAATATGTGTAAAAAAAAGATATTGCCAACTATACATTTTTGAAGAAATAATAATAATAGAAATAAAAAAATTTGATGGCATGAAATAACCCATTGAGGTTGATATACTGTAAAACAAACCAAACCAAAAGATTTGTCTACAGATTTTCTTATATATATATATATATATATATATATAATTATTTTTTATAAAAAAAATTATGACATAAGTATGTTATAAAATCACTACAAAAATAGCCATTTTGTTTCAACACACTCTGTGTCTTATCAAGCAAGTGATGATGTTGAAAATACAATAAATGGTTTTAAAAGTTTCAGATTAATTAACGATCCTACACTAGGGGGAAACATTGTTACATTTCTTATATACATATATATATATATATATATATATATATCGATTTGCTCATTACCGCAAATTATATTTTAAATTAATGTTTTTTTTTTTTAATTTTAGAGACATGTTACTAATTTATATTATTTGTTGATATACCTGATATGTAATCGGTATGTACTAGTTCTATTAATTTTTGTCACAAATCACATTTTCTACCTGAATCGGGCAACGTTTAGACTCGTATTACTGATAAAAAAATATGATTTTTTTTCTCCTCCTTCCTATGAGTGAAACAGCCAGACAGGAAAGGCTTTCAAGCTTTAGTTGACAAAATCTAGGAGATCTCTTAATTCAAAACTGTTTGGGTGTGGGGCAAGCAAATCCACCCATAAGATCCCACATAAATCAGAGTATTGAACCTTGGCACAGTGGATAAAGGCCTTGGTTGGATCCAGTGATCCAAAGAGTTGTTAAGGCAATGGAGAACTTGGAAAGGGGAATTAACAGTAGATAACTGATAACTGACATCCTTTAGACATGGCATGTGGAACTAGAACAGTCTACTCCAGAGAACGAAATAAAGGCTTCAGTTCGACATTCCAACTACCTGAAGAAGACCGGAGCGTACAACGGCTGAAACGTTGTGATAAATATGATGATAAAGATGAGGACGATAGTCCGAATAATGTAAATAGTGTAGAAAGGATAGAGTTGGAGTGAAAAAAATCGCTGTCAATGTTTGTTGAATACGTATGTATTCTTCGTCATAGTTTATGTACCAAGTTTCTTCGGGAAGTGGGCGATAAAGGCTCTCCACAACTTCCTATCATTTGTCACGCTTAGCAATGTTTACTTTTTTCACCATCACTCCCAGTTAGTATTCTGCCAACTGTAGAAAAGAAATGGAAGGTCTCATTAAATAATCGGTGATTTCCACAGGCAGACATAAGTTACCTCGTCCAGTGCTATACAAACAGCTCAGTGTCGACAGGCTAAGCGTATTAGTGTATTGGCGTCTCGTTGTTTCGAGAATAAAGTAATTGAGAATTATTACTACTATGACCGTTGTGGTGATTTTACACCAAGCATTTACGTAAGATTTTTAGGTAGGTTACTCGCTCTTTCCATTTGTATTCTTTATATTTTGATTCAGTTCACAATAGAAGAAAAAATATCAGCCTTTTTGGGTATATTGATAACTTATACAGAGAATAGGCTCAAGACAACAATATATCAAAAGCCAACCTTCTGACAATACCTCAACTTAAATTACAATGTAAAGAAAGGAATAGTTTGATGCCTGCAACACCGTACTGAGATAATGTGGCGATCCGGACAAATACCAACAGGAAATGATCAGCATATAGTGTACCCTTTGGAATAACAACTACTCTGCAAACATCGAGTGACGACGTTTCCGAAGGTCAGTCAGTCACTGCACAAATGTGATGACATAAAAGGTCGGTTGTAGGCGTATGTACACCCGGCTAGATATGTTCAAAGGTTTGACAGCTTGGCGGTGATCGAATTCAACAAAGAATAACACTTTGATTAAGAAATAGCAACCAATACGTTTTCTCACTTAACCGTAGTATTGTCTTCCTTCGGCTGCGAGACCGTGAATCTTACTAACTTCTAGTCACAGAAAGAGGACACTTACATTCACTGACCGTCTAGGCAGCTGCTCCTAGCCTCACTGCCGGTCTCTTCCTTATTCTCTGACTGTCGGTCCCTTATTTACTGGCCACTGGTCGCTTACTGCTGACTTACTGCCTGTTTCTACTTCTATGGAGACTAACTGGGGACCCAATCCCCTATCCGTCCACTTGTGTTCCAGAAAAGTAGAGCAATGGGTAGGTGGTCAGTTTTTCTAGACTCTACTTTTAAGTTTATCAAAAATCATTAACAAAATATTAAGTTTGCTAATTCAAATGCAGGCTGCAGACAGGGCTCTTGAAAACATTGTCTTTAAGTTGACTCAAAGACAGACTGGAGGCGAAGTAGTTAAGAAACCCTGGTAAACAAATTGAATTAAAAGAAAAAAAAATCTATCTATTCATCTCCTAAGGACGTGTGAGAAATCTTATTGTTAAAATCGGCTTCTGTTGACAGAAAGAGAAAGGTCAAGTTTGAGGGCAAGTACCACAGTCTTCCATACGTCAATGGTTTAGCGAAAAACACAAATTCAAAGATCTGCTGTTCATAAAACAACAGTAAAATATTCAGAAGCAGTTTCATTCTACACTGCTGAGTTAAGCCTAACACCGGGGACAATATGACTAAGAAATGTGTGTACACCATTCTTTGCAGTTGTGGCAAACAATATAAATGTGAAGCAAGACAATCAAGATGTGAATAGGCTGGATGAACGTCAAAAACTCGTAATTATGGTTGATGCAATGAAAGGTGTAGAAAAATTACGTAGTAGAGATAAACACTCAGTTGTGGAGCAAGCTAGGTGAATAATAATCCAACCTTTAGAAAGAGAGCTATTTATGTTGCCATGGAGCATCTCATTGTGCTAAAGTGGGATAGTCCATTGCTTGGGCTGTGATTGGCTACTGGTACCTAAGTGGAGGTATTTCTATATAAATACCAGTTTGATTCATCAGTTAGTTTGCAGGGTTTGTATTAAGTTACAACCTGCTTTATTTTTGTCTGCCAGCTGGACGCTAGCTGGGACCTTTACGCCGGTAAGTGCTGTTTATTATTGTTATTCTACAAAAGGCATCGCGGATCATGTATGAAGGGAAAGTGTAGTCATCAACATCTGTGAGATGAAGGGAAAATACTGGACAGGGAGATCTATGACAAAGTGGGGGAAAAAAAACTTTTGTCCGACACGTTACATCGGACTGAAGTGTTATTTACATTGATGTCATTACCCATGCGCATGAAGGGGGAAACGCTGGAGTTTTTAAAAATATCTATGTTTGATATATAGTCTAGCCGATTTCATTTAGTCTCTTTTCCTTTATTTTTATTAAAGAAACTAAATTAAATCGGTTAGATGATATTTTTTTAAGTAAATCACCCCAAGCAAGGCGGAAGTGCGACTAGCACGCAAGGGGTTGCAGAGGAGCAAGAGTAAAGAGGCGATACAGGATACAGAGAAAGACGGGGAACAAGCTCAGGCTGTCAGATATCGATTGACATTACATTTGAATATTTGAAAACTATAGCTATCAGGGAAGCAATTGATAGGAAGGGAGTTCCACTGGCGGTAAGTGCGAGATCAGAAGCTGTTGGAATAGAAGAGATGGTTAAATTTAGCCATTTCTATAATGAAAGGGAGAGATCGAGATGCTAATCGAGTAGTACGCTTAAATTCACGCAGTTCGGAGCCAGTGAAAGTAGCTCGTCGGAGCACTTGATATGAAAATACTTGTAGAAAATAGAGATAGAAACCACAGCATGTCTGTGAGAAAGTGACTGTAGACGGGATGCCAGATCAGGACCAATCACTTTGCATATCCGTCTCTGGATTTCGTCGAGGACCTTAAGGAGAACGGCGGAGGCACCAGACCGTATATGGCAGCAAGGACGAATGGTTGATTTGTAGATATGAAGGATGGACTCAGGCGTGAAAAACCTTCTGGGACGACACAGAGAACCAACTTTCCTTGAAGTATATGAAGTTATAGATTCAATATAGTTGTTCCACTTTAGGTCAGTGGTTAGTGTGAGACCAAGCAGGCGCAGAGGCGTTCTCGTGGAGTTGGCCATCAGCCATCCTGATGAGAGACAGGAAGGCTTCTCTACGGTGGGTAAATGAGAGTAGTTTCGTTTTAGAGGCATTACAGTTTACAAGTAATTTCCTGTCCCAGTCAGCCACACATTGGAGGCCTTCGAGGTCTACGGCTAGGTTAGTTTTGTCAACGATGTTGGATTTTATACTGAGGCAGGAGTAAATAATAGTGTCGTCAACTTAGATGCCAACTTTGGAGTTGATGATATCGTTGATGAAGATCAGAAACATTGTGCGACCCAGGATAGAGCCTTGTGAAACACCTACGATCGTGTGAAAGGAACTGGAGGAGAATCCGTTTAGGACGACCTTCATTTCACGGTTTGACAGCAATAATTTTATTATATCAAATAATCTTC